AGAGTGCGTAATCATAAGTTGCAAGGGACGCCTATGATATTTATCCGCATTCTTCCTTTTTTTAGGATTTCTATCATAATACTGCGCCAATATCAGTGCAAGCTCCTGTAACGAATTGTGAATTCTTCTTTAACATTCTTGATCATATTGCTCATCCTCAATGGTATTAATAAAAGCCATTGTGGATAACTCGTACGGACAGTCGCCGAATAGCAATCCCAACATGTCGTGAATCTTAATTATTCTCTCCTCGATTCGTCTATTAAGAATAGATTCTCCGCCGTTTCCTATATCATAATATTAGTATTACATAGAAGTGACTCTTAAATTATGCCCTGTTATTATCATTAACCAGAAGAGTATAACAGAGTCTGAGGATGAGAATGCCCCTTGTTTCTGGGAAGTCCTCAATCCTCTCTCTGTAGGGTACGCGTCACATACATGACTGTGATGACCTCCTATATCCCCCAGTCTATATATAGATGACACACCGAATAGAGATACGAAAAAGGGGAGAGGTTTATTCGACAACATAAACTCAGTATTTCAAAATGATACGCGCAATAAAAAGCCAGGACTTCTTCCTTCCTGTTGCTGTGCAGTCCTATGTCGATAATTATGAATCCATATGAATATATAAGTCCCTATACTTATAAGGGCCCAGGTATGTATGTTTATATTTCTTCATATATGAATAAATCCAGGCATGCTGGTATAGATATAAATGGAGAAGTACATATAGGGATATGGGCATATAGCCTATGGAATAATGTGATGAGAAACATGACATGAAGCAGAGAGAAATTAAAGCAAGAATCGAATAATCGAATTCCGAATTTTGGAAGGAATTTCTAGGATAACCTATGTATTATTATGCTTTGCGTACGATAAGGGCATGGTAAGTATCAGATGTCCCCTATCAATAGAGAAAAGTTATTCCCTCCTCATTATGCAAGGAAAAATTTTATCATACGTATAAGACATGAAGACATGGTCTTCCACGATGTACCATAATCCTGCTCATAATTTGTCCATGGAGGCATCACGCCATGAACATATAACCACCACCAATAACACTACTGACATTGTGCGCCCCAGGAATACTAGGCTATTATTGACACATGTTCAGAAACACTTGAAATTAGTATATGTTTCAGGATCTTCTCTCGGAAGGGATTATACATATTTCCTGAAAAATAAAGACAATATTCACAAATCCTGTAAAGAGTCTTTGTTAGACGATTTTCAGAAACAAAGTCTCACACGTACTTGGGGTATTTTAGATAGGCGCAGGCCGGCGCACACTATACAGCAACTGACAGATAATGAAGCAATAATGTGTGAAAGGTCCAAAGGAGGATTATCATGGGATGCAAAGCCCCGTAATTCTCTTGTACACGACATACGAAACATACAAATCGTTATGATTACACATAATATGGAAATTCTACAACGGATTCTTCAAAAGATTAGATACATACAAGAGAGGGTTCTAACTACCCGAATCAGCATTATCATAGAATATCATAGGGAATTAAGTGTGGCTCTCCAAGAGACTTTATCAATGAGAAATAGAACATTCCCCACCGAAGTAAAACGTCAAGGAAAATATCTCCTAAACCTCAAAGGGGAAATGCGGAAAATCCATACGGTACTTCAAGAATTGAAAGGACCAATCTTAGTAAGTATCGCAATACTCAAGATCCGGGATCATCAACAAGCATTCGGAAAAATCCGTACTATAATCCTCAGGCAGTACCGCGCAGTCATCAATTCAGTGTGCGATCCAATACGTAAGATCAAGGCGGCAGAAATAATACATACATGTCGAAGAATTCTACATCGTCCTGCATCGTCCTTATAATATAAGGCATACAATTCTGTACCGAGGGGTAAACACCACCCGCATATTAGGAGGAGTGAGTACTGGTTACTGGGCATTGAAGTATATCGTCTGATGCTCCTTTTACGGATGCTGGTTGCATTTACACTGGAAGTATTACCGTTATTAGTAGGCTTCCCATTGACATCCGTCCTTTCTGTATCTTATGGACTCGTTGTTTTAGGCGTCATAGGATATGTCTCTGTGTTTGTGGAAGTATCCGAATATGGGCAAACATTCAACCGTATCAGTAAGCCTGGTCTTAAGGATTCTATATGAGGCGTGGAAAAATACATGTGAGATAAGCTCTCGGCAGCTTCCTCCAACATAGTAACTGATTATTATTGGATTCTATGTTGAGACGATAGCGGAGTTTCTCTCTCGCTGAAGAGGGATAGTAACTCCCATAACCCCTTCTTAATTTGAACAATTAGTCCCCTTTTTTTTCTTATCTTGCTATCTACATCACATTTCCACTGTGTCTCGTATCGTAACATGGTATCGTCCCTTGAGTAAGGCCCTTCTTTTAGTTTTACATTAATCTGGTGGTTATAGAGCCGATCCTCTGGTATGTAGAATTATAAGTAAACAGTCCCCATCTTGTGGGTATTATGGATATCTTCGGAATGTTGCAAACCTATATAGCTATATGGATTCCTCATCACTTAACCCGAATACGTCTCCTGGAATCAAAGTCTGGTATACAAAGCTAAAATGGCTATATAATTTATCCCTGTCATGACGAGAGGCTTCTGTTTCTTTTCTCTGGAGTCTACTTTCCTGAAGCTGATCAGGAGTATGTTTCATGTCTACCAAAAGGGAACTCACTGGCCGCATCTTATTAGCTTCTAAAAAGGAGAGTTTTAGTGTCGTCAAATACCCCGATTAGGAGAATTCAGAAGGGATTTCTATGAGGGGTTATCAGGTGAATTATTATATTCCTTCTCTCATCTGTGTCACACGCTGTGTTCCTGTTTTCACTTCGGTTCAGGCTCCCTGTTTTTAAGTCTCCACAGATTTTATCTTTTCTCTCGAGGTTGATATTAGGAGGGACATGTGACTTCCTTTTTAATCTCTGTTTTACTGACATCAAAAACGATGTTTTAATTCATTTGTCGCCATTCACCACTGTTACCTTCCCTTCCTGTTCTTTTGTATTTTTTCTACTTTGTGTTAAAACAGATGAGGGAAAAGATGAGGGTGCAGACATGTATTATAAGGATTCTCGCATTGAATGCATTAATACAACGATATGTAATCGGGAATGATTCTCATATGGCTTCATAGAGATCTGTTACATCATTATAATTTATTCCGGATATTTCGGATTTCATTCGTATGCATCTCCCTCCAGTCACTGTTAGAAACATTACACCAAACAGGAAAACATCCTGTGCACAACTCCTGAAATGAAGACGCGTTATCTTTCGATTTTTTTTATTATTTGGCCTCTGTTTCTTCCTTAGAAGAATAGCTGACATATATAGTCAGAAATGATTTCATATAAGATGAACAACATGTCCCTGTTATCTGTCCTATTAGTTCAATTGAGGGAAAAGTGACAAAATCAACACTGTGTGTAGAGCAGGCAAAGATAAGAGCGAGACGATTCAGTAATCAGATAAAGAACAAATATTAGAACATACAGGTGCGGAAGTCCAATACTGACTACTTTATGAGGCCAGTCTGGAGGTAAAATTGGAAAAAGAATCGGGAGAGAATCTATGAGTAGAAGGAATAATCCTGCTTATGCGTAAAGGACACCAGAAAATATTGAAGATCACCAGGCAGACAATTTACGGATGAAGATTTCGCACAATTGGGCGGACAGGTGTCCGATCCCAAACTTCCAGTGTTCCACTATGCACATCGTATACTGAAGTGTAATTGTCACTATATAGTCTTTTCAGCAATATCAACTCTTACCAATTCCTTATATAAAAAAATGTTGAGGACAGATGACATATTCCCTGTGTGTCTTCCTCAAGGATGCATTAGTTACTACAGTAAATTGGTATCTATCTGCTAATGCTGCCTATCTAGGCCGTATATATCTTTTCTATTTTCTTTGCACCACCCAACAGATCGGAAGGATAGAATCATCGTTTATTTACCCAATTCATTTCTCTTAAGCCTACCGATTTGTTAGATGCCCGAGCCTTATTATTATAATGTGTATAGCAATCTCCTGATAGGATCTATTCGGCCTTTATATTATGTACAAGAATTAACAAGTGGATTAATGGAACAACAATTATCAGACAGGGCAAATAACATAACTATCCCCTCCCTGAATAGAGAAAGACTCCACGAGGGGGGATGTAGTGGGGTCGTCTTGGAAGCGATCCATGTCACAAGTGAGTTGCTCTCCATGGAGAGGAATTAGGAAGGTGAAGGGGTTTCGTATATAGATACATATATATAATATCTATACCGTCACATAGAAGGGACCTCTAGAAGAAGAGAGAGTGCAGTACTCATGTATCTGCAGCGAAGATATTTTCTTACCAGATTCAGCAGCCTCCCTCCCTAAAATTCATGTTCGTATGAGATAATCCTGTAGGATATTCTTCTTCACGTTATGTATACATTATTAGGTGCATACCTTTAATGATAGATGATGAACCTCATTTTATACAACAAAGAGTCTGAGCTCCCGGGAGAAGAGGAAACCGAGATTCTTCTCCAAATTGAAGGCCTATTATTATATTTGTAAATAATAATTCGTTGAAGGACGCGATGTTTTACTGATTCCTAAAAGTTCAACAAATAAACCTGTTAAGTAACAGAAATATTGCCCTACCAGAGGAGGTGACCCCTATGATCAAGAACAGGTGTAGTAACATCCGATACCTAAGCAATAAGTTTTCTAAGAGAGAAGATATATATGGTTGTATTCACTTGGGAGTATAGATCACGTATCATGATTACGAAAACTTATGTGCAGGGAATATAACGCCCTTCTGTTTTTCTTTTCTTTCGTCTTTTTTTTGTAGACGATTACAAATAATATGGGAAAGAATAAGAATCGCTTGCACTCATGCTCTTAAACAATCCCTAAGTTATTCTTCCTTCACGGCCCTATGGAGTCTGTAAGTACATTTAGCTGCTCGATAGATTTCGGTATGTGTAGTTATTCTTTAGTTGATCCCTGCCTCAGAGAAGTAAAGGAAGGAATAAAATTCGAGGAATAGGAAGGTTTCTTAGTCTTAGATGAGAAATAATCAGGGCACAGTAGCGACTCAGAGATAATCGTATGAAGGATAACAGTAGGGGGTACCTTCCCAAGAGGCAGAAACGTGCAACAAACAGAGTAAGATATGAGTCCCCGCGCGGGGAGGAAGTCAATACGTCTTAAGGACCAAGAGGGATTCAACCAAGAGAAGCAATCAGAGCCAAAGAGTCACAATCTCCTGATGGATGATGCTCCATAACCAATAGTGGGTGCGATGTGCAACTTAGAATAAGGGAAGTAACAACAAGACTTGAAAATCAAGGGAAAGGGAAGATGGTTTAACCTAACAGGAGCTCACCAGGAATCAGAAATCATGGAAAATAAGCTCTAAAATTACCCCCCCCCAACGGATGACAGAGCAAAAGAATCGGCTATGACCAGTGAAGAGTCCAGCACCTCCCGAAATCATAAATCAGAAGGGATCAGCCGCAGGAAATAGAGGATTAAGGATAAAAGCAAGAAGATGCGTCACAAAATAATAAAGATAACAAGACTCCCAAGGGTCAGAAAACCACAAAGGAGCAATCAGGAGACCTTACGCGTGAAGGCTCGCCGAATATCCACAAAAATCTAAAGCCTAAATCCTAACACTAAGGATTGAGAGGAACAAAATAAATCTCCTCAACTCAACCCTAATCCCTCAGAACTAGAGTATCAGACGTGAACAGTGAACCGTGAAGGCTACGGCAGAACACTAACACCTAAACCCTAAAGGCTGACAACTGTCACCTAAAACTTGACCACTGAGCAATCCAACTTGGAACATAGGCCATGAAAATAAAGAATAAACCCTAGAAGTCTACAAGCTGAACCTGAGATTTGGGCACTGGAAAAGGACCCATGAACAATAGACACTAAGCCAGCCCCCAAAACGTGAGCCATAACAGTAAGCCCTAATCCCTGAACCCTAGACCTAACCCCTGACAGAAAGAGGCTAAACCCTACACCGTAAGCAGTGAACACTAACAGCTGAACCCTAAAGCCTGACCGCTAAAGCCTGAAGCTGACACGTGACCCCTGAGCAATAACAATAAAGATAACACTGAACACTTAAAACTAATCCTAAAACATGAACCATGAAACCTAAACCTAAAAACTGAACCCTAAACCATAAACCCTGAACCCTGATCCCTGAACCCTAAGCCTAAACCCTAAGCCCTAGAGCCTAGGCGCTGAACCCTCAACCATGAACCCTGAAGCCTAAACCCTGAAACCTAAACCCTGAGACCTAAACCCTGAACCCTAAACCCTGAACCTTGAACCTTAAACGCTGAACCCTGAACAATGAACCCTAAGCCTAAAGCCTGAACATTAAGCCTAGGCCCCAAACCTTAGACCGTAACCCTAAATCCTGACTCCTAAACCTCGACCCCAGAAATCTTGCCCTCTTAAACCTATTCCTGACTCCGAATCTTTAACCCTTAACCCCAAATTTCGAACCCTTAATCTTGACTCCCCGATCCACCACAAGGAGATCCCAACCTGAACCCTCCACCTGAACCCCCAATCTAACGGAAGGTTCCTAACTCCTAATCCCTGGCGACGCCAAGGTTCTTCCCTCACCCTAAGGGCTAAAAAGAATCTGAGACTTGCCCCACTTTAGGGGGCCCCTAATCCTCCTAGCTCCTGCCAGAAATAATGGAAGCTGAATGTACCTGCTACAGCACCTCCTCAGCCTCCCAACAGGAATCATCTCGGCTCGAACCCTTTGGGGGCCATCGAAACCCTGGGTCCCTAGGTGGGGATTTTCGCTCCTCGTCAGACTTCCGTCCAAACCCCCCGTGAATCCCTCCTTGCACCCGTCGGATACGTCCGCCCTGCTCCGTTTTTCCTGTACTTGAGGTGATATAGTTCTGGTATCCCCCCTAACAAGATTGCTGCCGGGGAATTTAGGGACTATGGCCCCGTAGATCTTCCTCTATTCTCAGATATCCTACCATAACTTCCTGAGGTAAGGGACCTACATGACGCCTATTCCGGCCCTTTCTCCTTATCCTCCAAGCGCCATATACGGCCAGCGTGCCCAATATTATGCTCGTAATAATGCCTCCTATGACAACTTTGCTTTTGTTGGAGTAAGCCGCATGTGGTTTACCTAAATTCTTGACCGAATCCGCCCGTGTCTTTCCTTGCTGGGGGTTGGCCGTCTTACCTGAGATCAGAGTTTCTTGTCCAACCGCATCCCCGTCACCCCCTTTCTCCCCATCTCTGACAGATGTCTCCTCGAAGGGGGGGGGGAAGTCCTCATGCCCGTCCTTTTGAGGAGTGGGTTCTGTCCCTCTCATGTGTCTTCCTTCTGCTTTGGTGTCGCTGGACTGGCCCTCTTCGGGCGTCTGAGCCTCCGGATTTATTATTTCGTTGAGGTTGGTTTGCCTGACAAGATGGAACTCTAGGTGACTTCTGTTTTGTTCTTGGGGGGAGAGGACGACTACAGTTTCTGTGTTACGTTGCGTCTCCAGGCGGGGAGACGAATTTATGAGGCAAGAACTCCTTCGGTCTGATGTATGGTGAGGTCCCGATCCAGTTGTGTACAGTAGATAGTTCTTTTTTCCGTTTAACTTTGTCAGATCAGCGGCACAATTTAATTCTCCACTCTGATTTTGACAGTATATTCTTCTTGGGAGACTAGTGCGTTCTCTTCCGCTGGCTATCCAGTTGTTTAATTCATACGGTCCACATGTGGTACATAATTTTCCTAGACTCCCATATAGACTCAATAGGAAGCTAATTTTCCCTTTTTGGACACCTGTCAGCCGCTGGTTATGCTCCTCTTTTCTACATTCACCGTCCTCTGAATCATAGCTCGCTTCTAGGGTACTTTCCCATGCTGATTCCTCTACTCTCAGTAGCTCTAATATACTCTCACATCCTTTTGGCAGGTCCTTGGAGAGATCTTCATCTCCGGACTTTCCCTTCTCCCAGATCTTTATCAGACAAGTCATGGCTCCCATCCACTTCACAGATTCAGGTTTGTCGGGGCAGATTTTTCTCTTGAGTAGATCTCTCCACTTATATACTTCGCAATGATCTTGTGCACCAAGGCTTTCTTGTTTCTGGTCACACTCAGACTCTATCCTATTGATGTCTATCATATTGCTGAGGACGTCCAGGATTAGGTTCTGCCAGGTGGTATTTTCCAGGGATTCATTCTGCCCTCCGCAACCCTTTACTACCCTTTCGTCCTTTATTCTCCGATATAGTGCCCCCAACGTTTCGCTCTCTGGTCTTCTTAAATATTCATCTAACCATCCTGTCCATACTGTTGTTCTGTTTAGGTACGTTTCCTCCAGCTGCGGTAGCCCTTCGTCGCCGTGTCCGCAAAATGCCTCTAGATCCTTGCCCTCGAGTCCTAACCATACATTTGTCCTCCATCGACATAGCTTATCTGACATGCTTCACTAGGACTCCTCCCTGACTCTTTCAGATTTGACGATTTTCTGGTCCCTCCTTTATTAATGTGTCCTGATCTTCCCTGAGTGAACTATCCACTGCCTCTTTGGGGCTGCTCAGTGCCTGAATTATCCTGTGGGATCTTATTCCTATTTCTTCTCATGAACCCTTACACTTTAATTGGATACCTATCTGGAGTGGGCTCCTGCTCCTCTTCTTTTGAGGGGACGGAAATATCTTTCTACCCCTCTGGCTCTGCTGCTCCATCGTCGGCTTCAGTTCATGCCTATTCGAGTTGTGGTACATCCTCCAATGCTTGCTCTGCCACCTCCGCTCTCGCTTCTGCCTCACTATTTGATCCCTTGTATTTTCTTTGCTGTTTCTCCTGATTTGCCGACTCTCCCTTTCCTAACCCTAGAGATCCTTCTTGCGCTTTCCGTCGCCCCTCTTGGCCTTCTGCTATCCTTTATAATCCTAGTCCTTAACTCCTCGATCGGGAGTCTCCGTGTGGGAACCTTCCTCCCCTTCCTGGAATCTCAGGAGTGACGTCCTTACGCGAAACCTGGTGTTGTTGAGTCCGGACTTCTGCCTGTCATCTTCTTGAGGCTCCTCCGCCCTCTCCGCTTGTGGGGGTGGACTTGTACCTTGTCTCTACTTTATTGGACCTCCTCCTCTGTTTGCCCCCCTGAGATCCTTGCGCCCATTTTCTCTTTTTGTCTCGGTCAGATTCTCTTTAATCTCTCTCTTTTCTTTATCTTAACCTTCGTGATCCTGGTTCGACCCGCTGTGATGATCCTTTGCTCTTGTGGGGGGGACTTCGGTTGAACCAAAATCATATCCTCCCCCTCTCCCCTATTTTTCTGGGCCCTCAAGGCCGCTTGTTCCCACTGATCTGGGGCTGGCCCGTGACCTATCTCCTGACGCTTCCACTTCAGTCCTTTGCCTGATTTAAATATGCCCTGTCCGCAGCTGTGACTTGTTGGCTACTGGAGGATTCTGAGGTTCGCTTATTCCCTATCTTGGAACCTGCCCTTTTAGCTTCTTATTTGATTTCCTTTACTGAGTCCTCCGTTTGTTGCTTGGCTAGAGGAGACTTCTTCTCAGGTTCCTGCCTCTAAGCCTTAGCGAGTTGTTCCCGTTTCTTCAATTTTCACTTCCCTTCTTTCTATTCGGCAAGCTGGATGTCCTCCCCTTCTCATTTCTTGAGATGGGAAGTTGTGACTCAGTTCTATGCGGATTTCTCTGGCTCCTGTCTTTATTCAGTATTTCCCTCCTTTGCCTGAAAATATCTTTCTTCCTTTGTACCTTTCCTTCTCTTTATGACTCACTGGCTAATGATTCGACCGTTGTTTTTGCCCTCGTCTTATTCTCTCGGAGAATAACCTCTACTGTTACTCCTTATCCATTAAACGCTCCTCTAGTTACTCTTGTTGTCTCTAGGGGGGCGACTCCCTTGAGATGCTTGGGAAGAACCTCCACGCTACTCTCTTGGGGTGGGTTTTATGCCTTCCCCTTTATAAAGGTTGCTCTGAGTTTCCTGGGGGGCCCCGTGCAGGTGAGGGCTCCTATTCATCCTCTTAAATGATATTTCTAAAGTTCCCCTAATTGGTCGTGATTCTTAGTTTTTCACTTATCTTATTTTTTCTGGCCAAACCGTCGCAGATGCGGCCTTGGATGCTTCTTCGAATGATATTTTGTTTGTATTTTCTTTAGTTATCCTAATCTCCAGCTGGTAGGAGGGTCCTTGTCTCTTCTTCGCTTCTCTTCGTTATCTGGACCCCTCCAGACAACTCTGTGCTCTTGACTGTCATGGTTCTGGGCCGAGGTTTTTCTTCGGGATCAGCTTCTTCTCTCGGGAGACTTCTATTTTTTTTCGGTATTGGGCTCCTTCTCCTTCTTTTCGCGCCCTTCATATTTCTTCTAGTAATTTCCCCCTTTTTTTGCCTATAACTTACAGACTCTCCTCAGATTTGCTCCCCCTCGTGTTTCTTAGACTTCACTTAAGTTCATCCCCTTACGGTGTATTCGTTCTCGCCTCTCTCGTCTTGGAGGATCTGGTTTTGCTACGTTGACTCCTGCTCCTTTGTAACCCCCTGAGGCCCATTTGGAGATCCCGGGTATTTTTGGGGGGTGTTGTTCCACCTTCTATGACCGGATACAGAGTGCTGGATTTACTTAAATTGTTTCTGCTTGGGAATGATAGTTGTAGAAGAGGTGGAGATTTTGTTTTTGCTGAGGCAGACATATTGGATTTGTTTTCTTCACGTCTGCTCGACGTCACTCTTGGGAGATCGTTTAGACTCTAATTTCCTAGGCGGGGGGGGGGCACGTCCTATTCTAGTTCTTGGCTGAGTTTTTGAGAAAGCTAGCAGACTCTATCTTTTGTCTTCTTCAGGTGAATCAGACTTATTGCTGTTTTGTGTGGGCTTCGGTGTCCTGTTGGTGTTGGAGGTAATTAGCGATTGAGGTTTTTGTTCTCTCTAATTTTTTTAACGATTTGGGTCCCCTTTTGCTATACCCTTGGATCTTTCCCTAGCTACCACCCCTAAGAGTCCCGTTGTAGTTGCTGGTTCTGGAATCTATTTCTGGGTTAATCGCTACGTTACTTTGAATTGTTAGACGTATTCGTCCCTGATCCGTGGTTATTTCCTTTAGGCAACTCTAGTGGTTTTCTTGGGAAGTTTCCTGAAGTTATTTTCTCGGGGGGGAGAAGAAGGGGATTGTTTCGGGTGCTTACCTATTTAGCTGCTCTGCTGCTTCCTGTGATTTCGGCTTTGACCCGTTTTGGCTGTTCCCTTTTATTGGCCTATTGAGGCTTGAACTATTTGACCCTTAGTCTCGTTTTCATTAGATGGCTTTAAGTTGGGGGGGGGATCCTCTCTATTTAAATCTACCAGGATCTAACGTGGGAGTTGATGTCATTCGGGGATTGAAGGTTCCCTTCGTGTTGGGGGACTTGAATCTTATTCTTTCATTCTAGCTTTGGATATTAGGCCTTCGGGCATCGGAGATCCTCTGTCATGCCGGTTTAGAGCTCAGTTCAGATTGTTGTTTCAGGGCTTGTTGACAAACGGGGGGATCTTTATAATGCTTATTTTCGTTTAACATTCAATGCCTTGGTCTAACCTCCTTCTCAGGATTGGGGGGGTGTCTTTGGGGTGGTGTTTACTTCTGTGGATTACCATCCTTTCCTTATGGGTGGAGAGATGAGGAGATTTTTGAAGTACTCCATCTCGATATTGCCTAGGATGAGCATCCGAGGGCGTCGTGATAAGTCATCTTTCCTTAGACTGACATCAGCTTGGGGGAGATCTATTATTGGGGGGGTTGGTCTCCAGACATGTGGATTTGGATCTTCCTCTAGCTGTTTCCAGGATTAGGTGTGTTTTTCCTTGGTTGGATTTTCTGCCCTTGGATGATTTGGGTCATTTCACGTTCTTGAGGTTAGGTGTCCTTGGGTTGACTTTTCCTCCGTCCTCTTGGCGGAATTTCTCCGAGAATTCTTGACTGACTAGTGGATGAGACTTCCGTTTAAGGGGCTGTTTTTCGACTTTGGCTGCTTCGGACGAGGTGTCAGAATTCTCTCGAAGTTTGTCACCTGTTCCCTATCCAGAAAATCCTACCCGTTTTTACTTGTTGGGGGATGAAGATACTTACTCAGCTTTTCTACAGTTGGGGTTGGTGTTTTGGTTGTTGGTCTTCCCCTGGGTTGTTTCTAGGGGTTTGTGGTTTTGATCCGTTCGCTGGTCTCGGGATGATTTAGAATGAGCAGGGGAGTTTTCTTGCTTGAAGGAGCCCCTGATAGTACTTAATCTGCTGTTCGGTTGGATCTGTTTGGTAGGTCAATTCCTTTGTACTGGAATTTTCAGTGAAATGATGGGTCTTGTTTTCCTTTATAACTTCCTGGATAGCTCTTCCTCGAACGGCTGATGACTTCAGGCGGAGTTGTGGATCGAGAGGTAATTCCCGATTCGACCTGTGTTTCTTTATTCTTTCTAGTGCAATAGGAATATCTTTTTGAGACTGTTCGTTCTTCGCTCTGGTTTTATTTTTCCTCGTTGATATTCGTGCATGACTTTGTCATTCTTCTGACATTTCTTTGTTAGGAGGATGCTCCGTTCCACTACCGTGCTTTCGACACTTCGGGAGGCTCTGGGGGGTTGGGTTTCTGGACCATGCTTCCCTTGCTTTACTTGGGCTATCTGAACTACTCAATCTTGTCTTAGCTACACACTATAATTGTCGATTCTTTCGTTGAGTAGGGATTATTCTTCGATATTATCTGGTGGTTTGCTCCTTAGGTAGATTGGGCGAGTTGTGAAAGGAGTTGGGTAATTTTTGTTGTCCTTTAGTCCAGGGATATTGTGTCTGTTATCCTGTCTATTCTTCTTATTTTCTGGGTCTGTAGGCTCTTCAGTCACTCCTAGTCGTTATTATTGATGTACGTGGCTTCTTACTCTTATTGTACCTCTTGATAGGGGTTAGCTTGTTCATTAGGTTTGACAATTAGGGTGGGAGGTATCTTCTACTTCGGTTGATTAGGTTTTAATTCCTGCAGATTGTCTTTTTGGGTGGCCTTGTGTTGATCTTGGGGGATATGACCCCTAGATGTCCTTTTTCGGCTATGTTCTGTTCTTTCTGTGGTTTCTTTTGTTTTCTGTTGAGTGGATGCGGAGTTTGGGGTGAGCAGGGCAGAGATATTAAATTTTTGGCTATTGTAACACGTGATTCTCTTGTTGTGGTGGCTTTGGTAATACACCACCGTCCCTTTCGTCTTATGGATTATGAACAATAAATTGACGTTAGATCCTATAATTATTAACCTGCTTTTAACCTGATCTCACTTCTTTGGTCCTCAAGATAAGCTAGGTGGGTGGCATATGGTGGGACGGATATGTCATTCCACTTGTTGTTGAAACTTGTCTAATAAGGTGTGACTTATAATTTCATGCTCGACCATTTGGTATCACATATTTGCAGGATCTTTATATTTGCTCATTCTGCCTTTATTGTTGGGGGGCGGCTCTTGAGATCTAGAGATGTTTAATTTCCTGATACTTAGATATCTGACACTAGTAAGATTATAACGAAGAACTCCTATTTAGTAGGCTTGGGGTCCCGAGTTGCTCTGAGTTTACCTAACCTGTCTACTAGTGGTAGTTATGAAAAGACTAAAGACTTAGGATAGATAATATATCACTTTGTTATTTTCTTAATTGGTCAGTTACTGGGCTCCAATAGGTGACTTGTTATGATATTACTTACCCTTTATTAGTCCCGTTGCTTCTGTGGAGTTGGAGGAATATATACATCCTTTACCTTCCTGATTGTTGATTAAGTTTAAGACTTGTTTCCCTATTACTTCGTTTTGATTTTTTTGATACATAAGAATCCTTAACCAGCTTATTTATTCTTCCCTATTGTTTGTTTCCATTATATTTAATAGTATGATATATTTGACGTAGTCTGGCTATTTCTTAGTTGCATATTTTTTTAATCAGACACGCTGATGAGGAGTATAAATTTGGCTGGTTCTTGTTTTTGGAGTTTCCCTATTTGTATTATAATATGGAAATTATTCCACTTGGATATCATTTTTGTTTAGGTTTCTTGTATTTTTGGTCTAATCCTTAATACTATATAGTTTAATTCATAGTTTCCTTGATTATTGGTACTATAATTTTGACTTTTCCCCTCTGAAGGACCTTATTCTCTTGGACCTCCTGCACTTCGGATTTCTGCTGGATTTAATAATCAGTCGTTAATATGACAAATAATATAACATATCTTCAGTTTCTTCTTATAGAGGTAATAATCATACTCTTGTTCCTAAATTGCATTCATTGATATCTAGCAGTTATGGAATAAATATATTTATCACAAACCCTTAATATAGTATAAGATAAGGCAAAAGAACTATACATACTAGTTACCATATAAGGTGAAGTGACTGCTGTACACCGGCTGTAAAAACTATTTAACTATTAGAACCTTTATTCTTAAGTTTTGCTCTATTGCTTCTGTTTAATTATATTTTGAAAACGTAACATATTCAATAAAAAACCTACAATTTCCCTAGTATAGAGTTAGTTGCTCTGCCTGTTCATCCAGTAATCATCAATATATGAACATTTTTTTAGCACTATGATTAATCTATTTCAGAAATTTCATAATTACTACGGTATTATTTACTTAATTTTATTAGTCTCCACACAATCCTATCTAGGGAATATTTAATATTAATATTTCCTGTAGATATCTGTATAAAGAACATATAGACACTTCACATCAGTTATCATTATTATGCTTCCTTCAATATATGCATCATGAGGAAGCTAAAGTCTAATTCACAATCAGGATGACGCAAGGAGGTTATATATAAGAAGGGTCACATGTGTGAGTCCAATATGAGTCGATAAATCTACATAGAGACTAAAGGACTTTCTTATAGATTCACTAATAATCTATAACACTTGTCGTAGGACCCTTCCTGGTTAGGGGTCCCCTCTGATTATAGATTAGTGTGACATTGGTAAAATCATTAATCTAACTACATGACTTCCCTTAGTTTTTTTTAGGGTGTTCATACACTCCTTACTGGAGAATTAGGCGAGAGGAGGATACGACAGTGATAATACTCTTAGTTTTATCTAAGAATTTCATAATTTTATTAGATAATGAGCTATATTTGGTTTGTATCATATTTAATCTCATGACGATGAAGTAATGCTTTGATTATGATATCATATAATCTCATTCTGTTGGCGTCCAAAGTTCTCTATCATTGCCGTTATAAAGAGATTTTGTCACAATATAAGAGATATAACAATATAAACACTTATACACAACTAATTATATTTTTTATAATGACGTCATTAGTCAATACGGGTTCGGTTATAACAAATATATCAGGTTTGTTGTGTCCACTGTTTAAAAAGAGGATATTTAGCTTTAGATATGCGCCCCTTGGACTTCAGTACTTGAAATATTACCCGAAATAGATAAGTGAATATAAAAATAACTGGAAATAATACAAATTGTGACTATACCCCATAATAGTATGCACTTTTCCTGTAATATTAGTTCCTGTTGTGCAATTAATTGTAAAGAAAGAGAAAGGCAGTGATGAACATACCCATTAGCAGAATTTCAAATGTTAAAATGACAGAAACAGAAGTAGCGTAAAGATGAAACAGGAGAATAATCATTCTCTAACACTTGAAGAAAATAGGTAAGATAATAATATGCCTCAAGAATATCTTTACATTGCTGTTTCAGCTTAATCCATAAATGCATCACGTATTAAAGATATGATATATTTCTTATGATTATAAATTTCGGATAAAGAAGAATGCTTTCAATACATTAATTACACCCTAAATGGGTCAATTTCTCAAGGCATAAATTGTATAATAATGACCACATGTACACGTCCGGCGCTCACGGTAATTTCGATGAATGGATAAACTGGGGACATTACACCCTGGTACGCCAACAACTAAATATTCTTCTTCCTGCAGTGTCATAGGTATATATAGTATGGCATTGAAGCTGAGCACAACATAACGGACGATATCCCGGGGGTGAGAGCTTAGAATATACTTTACATGTATTGTGAGGTATAACACAGTAGAAAACCCATGAAGCGTATGACAGGACATCGACAGTATAGCTGTTAACAATGCGCAGAAATATGGAAGTCGAGTCCACTTATTTCTCATCCTAAAATTTTGCAGTTCACGGGGATATGACTAATTGCATATTCTATCGTTTAAGAATATCTGTACGTTGCCGAATCTGAAGAATAAATTTGGAATTATAGGGAAGGCAGTGTATTTGCACATATACTGCAATTGAGGGCGAGTTTTGTTTGATGAAAACTCTCAATTTAAAGTAATATTGTCGGGATGGGTGAATAAATTCAGTCAAATGCGAATGTCATTTGCCAATAATTGTTTAAAAGAACATAGAATCAGGTCAGATTAGAATTCACGCACTTGTCTTAAGTGTAGCGTGACTCTTGCAAATTTGTTATCTCCCTTATGTACGTATTTGCTGGGGCGCTGAAAGCTTATGTGTAGGATTTGCATGTTCATATGTTTCTGTACAGCCCCTTCTTTCTGTTCTTTATTCTGTTGTTTAAGTTTCATTTTATGTAATAATATTTGTTAATTTCTTCTTCTTCCATTCTAAGGCAAAGCCGTCCCTGTTTAAATCAGATATAACTCTGCTCTTGTCCGGCATTTCTCTTTAACAATATGGGTTATGCGCGATTGCTAAACCGTGAACCTTGGAATTATATATAACACTCCGCCGCAATTTAGCCACACCTTAGATGAGTAAATCCGCGGATGATCTGATGGATTCATTTCTAATGAGTCTCCCTATTGCCAGAATAGTGCTATATATAAAAAGGTGGAGGACTCTTCAAACTTAAGAAATTCTTCTCATAGCCACTTTGGTTATAATCTGCAAAGGAATAGAAAAACTAAAATCAAAGTCATATGAGTAATGCGATCCAAAGAATTGGCATCGTTATATTCCAAATCAGGGCAACACAAAATATACAGGTAACAAAAAAACTCTCATGTTAGTCCTCTGACCACTAGGGACCCATGCAGTCAACATAGATATCTTATGATTACGAGGTGGGACACAACAAGAAGGGACACCTTTACACTAAGCGTAGAGATACTGAATGTCGTAACTCCTGCAGAATTCACATCAGAAAGTGTGTTATATCTTTACAAAAACAAAATAGCTTTTAAGGAAGCCTCTGAAACTTCAAGGAAGAAAGAAATCTATTTTAAACAATTATATATTTTCATGTATAAAATCACAGATGATATCATAGGATATTACATCCTGGGACAACAAATAAAATTGTAGAGTTTGTAATTCAAGCCATAACGCTCAATAAAAACAGGAAAAAATTTAGAACCCCAATTAATATATGTAAGAAATTCCGTACTTATATGTCTTTCTCTTTAACTGCGATAATCGCGTGTATTTTGACACACGAATTTTTGCAATCAACTCCTCTCCTATTCGATGGGGTATTGGGCCCGGTGAATATCCCACCTCATATTTTACTGTAAGTTTCCTCTGTTGTGTTCACCTTCCCTTTTCCTCGGTTTAGTCCTTCCGTTTTAACATTGCTTTAGTTACTCTTATTTGTTAAGTTAGCTGTGTCCCTTTGGTTATAGGGTGCTACTTCTCCCTTGCAGGTTTCCTTTCAGCTTCATGTTCATGTCTGCCCATATTCTTAAGTCAGTTATATGGTTCTACCCTATATATTTATGTTTCTTCTGAAATACAGAATTCTGCTCAATGTCGCAGTAGTTTCAATGTAGAAACTTCATTTTGGGCATTTCCTCTACTTCATTTTTCTCTTCTCCCCTTCCTAATATGATAAGTGGTTTGTTTGTTATGGATATTCGTATCCTCTTGTCAAAGATATCCTCGTAGGATTAATGTCATCAACACCAATCAGATCCCAGGGAAAACTATACCCTGCACATAATACTACTGTTAGGATACCGCCTTCTCTCAAAGAATGCTACTCTAGCTACATCATAGGACGTCGTAAGACTGTTATGTCCTTATAGTACGGCCGGCATTTTAACCCCTTCAAAAATAAGGTATCGCAAATGAGAGAACATCAGTGCTGTATGAACAATGGTTCTATTCAAATAACGAAGCGTTCAATGTTCTATCCACCCCATAGTAATATTCGGGGCATATACTTCTAACTTATTATATACTACTCCTCGTATATTCCTACGGTTAATAGAATAGTGCGCCCCATATATAAGCTGTTTGGGTATATCGAAACGCTTTAAATAATAGTTCTCCGGAGATATGCATTATCATTGCACAATTGTGCTTTGCAAATAAGAATACTACGCACACGTGAGATGGCTCACAGAATATAGTTCCAGATGATCCATTATTCTTATGCGACTGTGCTTTACAGACAACAGTACTCTGCAAATATGACTATAGTTCATCCATTAGTACATTCATATAACAGTAATACGGGAACCTCCACACTCTTGACCATTGGAAATGAATACACATCAGTACTTTTCAGGCAGTAGTTTTCCTGGAATATTCATGCACTTCACAGAATATTGCCCGACTAATAATACCACTCCTGAAATCTCAATACTTCGCACACACAATTACTCTTAACATCATAGTACTCATTGCGTAGCACTATTCTTCAAAGAATAGTACTCCAGGCAATTAACACCATTTGCACACTCCTCTGCTTCATATAATGGAGCCGTTAACCTTATATCGAAACACTTCACATGATGCTACTCCAGGGATAGTCCTACTGATCATGGTACAGGACTCCCTACATAGCAGTACTGCTCTTCAAATAAAAGTATTATTCTCAAAAGAGTACTCTTAATATAACAATACTCCTTGCACACTCGCTCTGTTCGAATAATAATGCTCCCAGGTTAATCGTACTCATCCTGCCACGAAACTTCTCACGTAACGATACTTTTAGTATAATAAAACTCGGACTCAGCCATATAGCTCAACCATTAGTACCTTCATATAACAATACTATGGGAACATCTGCACTCGTGACTATCGAAAATTTGGAGAGATCAATCATCTTCAGGCAATATTTTCACTGGAATATGCATGCACATCATAGAATAATGTCCCTCATATAATGGAGGCGTAAACTCTGAAGCCTTCGCATAAACTAGTACATGGACATCAATACCTTTCCTATAACAGTATTATAAGTACATCCCGGGACTTCACCTACCTTAGAAATTCAAATGACTATTCTCCAAACAAGAGTTCCCCAGCCAGGCTTGTGCTTTCCATGTAACGAAACGATAGGCATGTGAGTATTTTGCACACATGACTATTACGGACACGTCAGTAGCCTCCCTAGAATAACCCTCCAGACGATCCTTATCTTTTACGCAACGCTGCACTTCAATTGACAGTTTTGTCCGGGTGACACTGCTATTCACCTAATAGTACTCCATAAACATCCTCACTTCTAAAGCAATAATACATAGGGGATAAAAGTGGCTCTTCACACACGCGTATATTATTCCTGTCTGGTAATGCTAGCACATCAGTATGGTCATGCTATTTACACTTCACATATGTGGGCCTTCTCATAATAGACAAAAAAGATAAATATCTTCATAATGACTCCACATAGAAAGAAAAGGAAATAGGTAGATGATAATATTACGGAAGAGGAAATTTTAATAAAGAAGCATGAGATACAGTACAACATATCAGCGATGATGCCCCCAGAATGGCACCTTCACAGTGATGTGACCTCAAGAAACATTTCCACAATAATCGAGGCAGAAGAGCATCTTCAAAAGGACGCGACAGAAAAAAATCCTGAAGATACCAGGAGAAAAGAAAGCATCTTTATAAAAAAGAAAAACATGGGACAGCATCTTAACCATGACGCCCAAAACAGACATCTTCATAGAAAAAATCACACAGGGAAGAACATCTCCAAAACGCCGCGAAAAAAGGTACATGATTGTGGAAAAAATTACACCCACTAGGAAACATCTTCACAATGCGGCGGCAGCAAGAAGCAACCATATAAAGGAAATGACACAAAACAGTATGTTCAGGCCGCCGCCGGGAAATAGCATGATAAGCAGCGTCGCGGAAAGGAAATATCTTCATAAAAAAAAGAACCTCGCGGAAGAATATCTTCCCGGTAACATGATAGGAGGAGGAGGCATCTTTATAAAAGAGCCAAAGCAAAAAATATCAGAGATATAGCGCGGTAAAAAGAATTTTCATAAGAGAAATGCCACACGAGCAAGGATTCTCATAATGACGTGAGAGGAAAAACCTCATAAGGCCACGCGAGAATAAAACTATCGTCACGGAAGAGATGAGACAGAAAGAAGAATCCTCATAGTGACAAAGCAGAAGAAACCATCTCTATAAGGATGACGAACGAAAGAATATATTAAAAGTACAACGCGGTAAGATGAATCTTCAGGAAGAAAGGTGCCTCACAAGGAAAATACACTTCACAATGACGTACCATAGAAAAGAAAAACTCCATAAAAATGGAACAGGAAATATCATCCCGAAAAAGGGGCCACCCACAGAAACATCTTAATATTAACGCGACATGAAGGATGTAGCTATACAGAAATTTAACACAAAGAATCGTTATTACAGTGACATGCGAAATGTAAGAATCCTTAAAAAAATGCTACCCAAAGAGAAAAAATCACAGTGCCGCGGCGGAGCAGTAAACATCACAGTGATATGGCACAAGGACGGCGCATTGACAAGGAGGGGGATCATCATAAAGATGCAGGAAAAGAAACCATCATCATGAAAAAACGACACAGAAAAAATCGTGATAAAAATGCAACAGATAAACGCATCTTCATAAGTAAGCCAGGGGAAGTGGTATCTTCCTAGGGATGGTGCAAAGGATATTATCATAAACCAACCCTCCAGAAAAATTTCGTCAAAGGAATGCCAGATAAAAGTGTATCCTCATGAGAAGATTAAATAAAGAAATATATATAATGAAGCGGAACGAAACAGGCCGAGCGCGACAGATATAACACATGATAGTACGCCCCAAAAAATTAATCCACATGGAAAGACTTTCGTAAGGTTAAGTCACCTGGAGCCGCGTCCGGGAGAAATTACGCCACATAGAAATGCGTCCTCGAACATTACGCCACATGAAGGGACATTCGCGAAATTTCCCTACGTGAAGCCACCTTCGCAAAATTACACCACATGGGACGGCATGCGCGAAAAATTACGCCATATGAAACGAGGACCACAAAAATTAGGCCACATAACACAAGGTTGGGAGAGTCAGGCAACATGAGACGACGTTTGCGAAATTACGCCACATCAGAACGCATATATATAACAAGGAGGCGCCATGAGAAGATACTCTCATAAAGTTGCAAAAAACATGAAAAAAAACACTAATGGGAATGATAAACACGAAGGCACATCAGTAGGCACTATGCAGCATGGGGATTGATATGGAAAGAAGTTGCGATATGAATTAACACACTTATAAAAATGCAGAAGCATGAAAAAACATACACAGGAAGAATGCAACATGTGGTTGGATACTGCTGAAAATATCGAAAAATAAAAGAAAAGACTGACAGAAAGGATGAGCCACGACGACGCATTCACAAAAATAAGGTAATTATAAAAGAAGCCATATAAACAACAAGGCCCAAAATTTCACGCTGAACCCATTAGATATCCATATCTTTATTCTATTGCACTTATAGGAGTTTCCACAGAAAGGCATGAAAACATTTAAACGCTATAGCAGCCTTTTTAATTGTATGCAACATACAATTAAAGCTTAATGTGAAATTAGAACTCAGATTATACCAGTTCAAATTCAACAATCCAATACTCCCTTTATATATGCGTAGATGAAACCCTTCATGAACGACTGTGTAATTTAAGGGGCCACATCTTTATGCCAAATTAACAATCTTCTAATTTGAATCAGCATATACTGGTAATTACGTTTTCCCTGTGCTTAAGGATGTTTAACCATCCGTACTATTCTTTTTCGTTCTGGTGGTTTGTTTGTGTAGCCTTTTCCTTTATGACGCCAGATGGGCATCATAATTCCCCAGGTTAACATTTCTTATTTTTATGACTCATGAATTAATCCCGCATATAGAAGGGAAAAAATATACTTATATATATATCCATGGGTATATGTTCCATGGTCAGGTGTAAAGGAGTCAACAACACAAAGGCTGTCTTCAAGAGATGATAGCAACATATAGACGGATGTAAATTACGTGTATTTCTGGCGCCAATATCCTGCTTATTCCTCTCAGAATTGATGCATCACCAGTTCATACCCATAATGTAAAATGGCTTAACCGCCCCAAATGAGCAATGTTGTATGTTGTCTCGTTAGTTTACTACCATTCATCATATGCAGAAATGAAGACGTTATAATCACATATATCTGTTATTGTCAGTTTCTCTTCATGATTCAATACTGGAATTTCTTCCTAATCTCTATGACGTATCCGTTGTAATATTTTATAACCACCCCCACAATTCCTTCACTATTTCTCTCCCTTCTTGTACTATATATATGTGGGGGTAATCACAAGCGATTGGTGCAGAATTATCTTCGTCATTGCCTATTGATTCTGTTTGGGTTCTGATTAACATACTTGGATTGCGCTGTATCCCTTTCTAGTTCACATACGGACGTAATACTGGTATTTCTCTGTCCCTTTCTTTCTTAAATTTTGCCCATAACAAGTAATCCCCTCAACCGAATTAATCAAAGCGCGTTAGCGCATTCCTTGTAGTGAACCGCTCGCGTAACCGGACAGGAGGAATTGTTAAATATAATTATTGCAATATCTTATCCTCCCCAGATTCTATTTTACAGCGAAGAATGCTTAACTTTTACTATTCACTCGCATACTTATTCCCATTTAGTCAATCCCCTCATTCGAAATGGATTTGCTCCTTATTTAATATTAAACTGATGTAGTGACAGATTTAACAGTTTCATTAGAACCATCATTATATGCTCACCTAATCTTTGACCTCAATATCCAAAAGGGGATATCCTGTAAAGAATACCAGATTCACATCAATGTGCGCGATATTATCAAAATGAATAAATATGAGGTTCTTCAGTTAATTATTAATTGAATACTTAGCAGAAATCTATTCCACAGCTTCTGTCTCATAGCAGCCAATTCTGTATCCTGAGAACCCATCGCCTCTTAAGTCGCCTTCCAGTCCATCCGTACAGTTTCAAGCGCCAATCAGTACACATAAATGAACGAAGAGTTAAGTACTGCTGAATGTATCAGAAGAGAAAAAAAACAAAAAGAGGAACCACAACAATTACGCGAAGACTTTGAGAAGGGACTCTCCCCTCAGACATCCCAATCATACACAGTCATCATTATATTGTAATATGGGTGTTATTACAATGTGCAATACTGATTCCGGTACACCGACGTGTATCGTGTCTCTTATCATAACTGCTTAGAAGCAATATATTAGCGCTATGCCACTTATCAAGACAATATTATCACACAGACATAGATATACATGTATACATACGTATATAAAGGTATATGTAGCACTGTAAGGATCAAGAAAAAATTACTAAACTGTGCAGTCATATAAATATGCGTCTCTACTTCTACTAATTTTTAAGGTCTCTCATAACGGTTGCGCTACACAGGAATGTGATCGCGAAAGGAGTAATGTTCCTCAATAGACATAAAATCTTACCTATAAAAAGATGCTCCTTCTTTGTACAATAAAACACACACACGTTCCGAGCAAAACCCGTCCGCAAGGGACATATACCACAAGATCTCTCCCTGCATCTGACTCACTCCAACTCCTGCATTTTCCTTTATGTGTTTTTTCTTTGTTCTTGCATAAAATGTGACCATAGATAAACGGCAACAAACAAAAACGATGTTCATCATGAATCCGAAGAGAAAACATATTTCAAATATGTAATTCTACAATAATGCTACGGCTTGCATGGAATTGATGTGTTCATATCTTTCTTTACTTTCTTTTTTCTTCTCTTCGGTTCTGTGTAGTTTTATGCATAATTGATTATATGAAGTGCTCATCCTGTTTGTATATCTAAGCTTGTTTCAATATCTTTGGGTTAGATACACGTATAAACAATGCATGACATATTAAAACTCGCCTCTTTCAGATTGCTGTAAATAATTAAAAATCCTTTCATTCCTATGGATGGCTATCTAAGGCGTCCTTATAACGCAGGAACCATCTATTATTAATGTGATCCACAAATAGTAGTTACTATTAATACCCATTACTTATGTACAACATGAAGAAATACTTGTCATATGAATGCCTCCACGCAACTTCGTGCTGTGTACTTTTGGACAACTCCCTTCTATTAAAATAAAGAAATGTGCACACGTCGATATTGCTTTTATCTAAAAATTCATTCTGTTCCTGTGGGCCAACCAATTTCATATACTCCCTCATGAGTCATGGAATACTCTTCCCGGAGTGTTATGTAGAGAGGATAATATGCAACGTCTGAAACGAGGATTTATTTATCTTTTTCCAATGGAGCCATGCGATTCCTGTGGTAATGCGAACGCAGTTGTATTGTCGAACTCTTTAAGACATATTTTTCTGGTCACCCCTGCCTGGGGATAGAATTCTGTGATGTTAACAGCAACCTGCAGGTTTGCCTTAAGGAATTCGCAGTGGGGTCCTGGTCAGTGTCTATCTCAACGTTCAGAATGCATATACGCCTGTTGACAGGTGTTCTGTATAAACACATTTATACCTGTTCATATTTGCCCGTGCTCTTCCCTCTTGCAAACTAAGTCGGAAACCCATCTCAGTGTAAAGGAGAACGGACAGGGAAAAAGCATAACAAAAAAAATGTCGCTTGGTATCTATACGAATCGGCGCGAATACATAAATGGCATCGCAGGGAGAAATGTTCACCCCTTCTATATTATCAGACGGAACCGTCTTGAAGCATAATTTCTTTTATACTACCCCCACTTAATTGGAAGCCTTCATGTTCTTTAAAATTGTGGCGGCTACATATTCTATCCACATTCACTATACTAAAATTGGGTTTTCCGTAATTATACGTTCCTCCTCATCCTATACCTTACACGTTATACAATACCATAGCTGATGTACTAAGGACCAGGGACCATCGAACTAATTGCGCTGTGCATGAGAAGAATATAAACTATCAACTGAAC